CCATGTAGGCAATGAGGAGCCATAGAATGTTTTTATAAATAAATATTTTAGAAAGATGAGTCAGTCTTTAAAGCAAATTGAACTGGATTCTGGTTATAATGATTATGTGTATACAGGCAAGGGGCAGGTATTGACATTTTCACACTATAACTCACACGCACAAAAAGAAAAACTTGTTAACATCTCTGTAACTAGAATGACCTAGTCCAAATTTTTTGGACAGATTTATTGTCCAAACTGAAACATGTTTGAGAATAAAAGGTGGGTACTTTTAATAATTATTCTGAGACATCAGCCCTACGTTGGGAGTGTCCTGTGCAAATTAGAAGTCGGAGTCACCTATTTATCATGAAACTAAATTTTCTTTGGTTGAAAATAAGCAGGCAAATAAAATCTTGATTCAGAAACTAAAACTCCGACTCACATAAATAAAAGTCTTTGGTTTACACCATTCATGGCTAGACAAATATTTAGCAAGATTAAAAGTCAAAGAACAAGAGCTCACGCTTACATGAAGAACACGACGTGAGCTCTGGTGCAGGCCCTTTGCACATATTAAGTCATTTAATCCTCAAGGAAAATACTATGAGGTACATATTAATATAAATTCTCATTGTATAAGTAAAGAAATCAAGACACGGGGAGTTTAATTGACATGCCCAAGGTGAGCTATTGACTTAGCAGGTGCTAGACCCACGATTCAAATGCAGGTTGCCTGGTACCAATATCTGTGTCCTAATCATTCCTACATTGCCTCTCAGACTCTTAAGTCATGACTTGTTGGCTCCTACATTTGAATTCCAGGTAAACAATGATGAATTCTTTAGTATAAGTGTGCCCCATGCAATGTTTGGGACAACCCTCCACCCCTTTGCTTGTTGCTGAATGAACTTAAATGTCCTCTTTGCATGGGTTGGGTGTAGGGATGGGCCCTGATGTCTATCTTGGACCGCACCCTTGACACATCTGCTGAAGTGTCCTTGTGGTTGTACAACTCACTGACCAGATTCGGCTTTGCCCTTACTCCTGGCTATGCTGCAGATGCTCAAGTCTCAGCCTCGCTCCTCTCTGTCCAAAAACATGAACATGGATATTACAGGCATTATGGACTGTGTAGGAGCATTTAAGAATAGGTCTATTAACTCTGAAGTGAGCTAGAAAAACCCTTCAGCTCAAGTGGAAAATAGTTTTGTTTGCCTGTGTGCAGTAATAGCAAAATTCCACTATCATACTGTATCTCTCATTATAGCTCAAAAATGAACTCTATTATGTATCAGAAACTTCTTGTAAGGAAAAGTTTGATGAATTCTATTAGCAACAACTGAAAAAAAACAAGTGTTCTTCTGTCATTAAGCTGTAACTTTCCTGCCCTCCATCTAACACATTTTCTTACTTATACTCCCAAAGCAGGCAAGAAGTTGGGGTACAGCTAAAGAATTCTGAGTTCCAATTCTAGATTTACACAGAATTTTCAGAGCCATACTTTCCTTTGGAATAACGCTGGGAAAATAATTTCTGATACTGGAATAATAATAATACCTGCCATATAAAATTATTCTGAAATTGAAATGAGAAAGGGTCTATAAAACACAGAATATTATAAATGGAATTCAAGGTTAGCAACTTCAAAACCACCTTTTTATTTAGTTGATTCCTGTCTCTCATGGCCCATTTGGTGGGTAGAATAGCCACCCCCCCACCCCCCAAAAATATTTCTCCCTGGAACTTGTGAATGTGACCTTATTTGGAAATAGGGCCTCGCTCCTCAAGGATCTTGAGCTGAGATTATTTTGGATTTAGGGTTGGCCCTAAATGCAGTGACAGGTATTCTTAGAAGAGAAAGGCACAGGGATATATGAGACCAGAGACACAGCGTCACCTGAAGACAGAGGCAGCAATTAGAGTTACGGTGGCACAAGCCAAGGAACATTTGGATCTACCAGACGCTGGAATTGATAAGAAAAGATTCCCTTTAGACTGCAGTGGTTCTCAACCCTCTTAGTGCCGCGACCCTTTAATCCAGTTACTCATGTTGTGGTGAGCACCCGACCATAAAATTATTTTCATTGCTACTTCATAACTGTAATTTTGCTACTGTTATGTCTTAGGTGACCCCTGTGAAAGGGTTGTTCGACCCCCAAAGGGGTCGCGACCCACAGGTTCAGAACTGCTGCTTTAGAGCCTTCAGAGAGGCCCTCGTGACCCTTGATTTTGGACTTTTATCCACTAAAACTGTGAGAGAAATTTCTGTTGTTTTTAGCCATGCAGTTATGGTACTTGTTTAGGCAGTGTTAGGAGACTAATACAGTCCACATCCAATCCATCAGTAAATCATGACAGCTCAACCTTCAAAATATGTCCAAGGCCATGCACCACCTTCTCCCCCCCCCTCCCCCCCCACCGATTAGCTACTCGAAGTCACCATTGTGTCATTCCTGGCCCTCCCGCTTTAGTCCTTGGACCCCTTAAAGTCACATTGCAGAGTGTGATTTAACACTGAAGTCAAATCTTGTCAGTCCTGTGCTCAAAACCTTCCACCTGCTTTTCATTTCTCTCAGAATATAACCCAAAGACCTCACCACGGCCCACAAGGTTGGCTATGACCTGGCCCTGCTATCTCTCCGACCTCACTTCTTACCCCTGTCTCACTTCCAGTTTCCGCATGGTTCCGCAGATGTGTCAAGCGCCCTCCCTCTGAGCTTGGAGTGCTCTTCCTTCTGTCCAAGTAACCTCCAGCCTGCTTCCTTGCGGGTCTGCTCAGATCCCACCTCCTCAGAGAAGCCATTCGCATTCATCTTATGCAAAGTGGCCTACCCCAATTACTGTATATCACATCACCCAACAATTCTTCAAAGTGCTCATCTCCAACCGTACTTGCTTTGTTTATTCTCCAGTTCATAGCTTCTCCCTCTCTTATGAGAATGAGATCTCCCTAAGTGTTAGGACCTTGTCTGTCTTGTTCATTGCTACATTTCTGGTACCCAGTGCTCAGCACACCGCAGCCACTAATAAATACTTGTTGAATGAATGAAGAACCCTCAGACCTTTGAGCTATTAAGGGTGTTAACCGAAGAGGATGGAGATGATAACTATTTTCAGCACCACCCAAACAGCATTCTGTGGAAAGTAACTTAGACAGCCACCTACACACATTCTCAGTGGATGGGATAAGAGTCACCACCAAAGGGAACAACCCACTGTGGTCACAAAGTGAGATCTGAAGTCGGGACATAGTTAAACAGTACTAACTTTTTCTGTGAGGTATTTCAAAATGCTTAAAACTCTCAAATCCAAGAGACAAATTAATGTTAAATCTACGAATGGGTTCCTGAAGGAATTTGGGAACAATGACAATTTTTCATGTGTTTAACACTCGGCAATTTAAAAAGTGCTTTCATATGCCTTATTTTATTTGATTCTTACCTGCCTGAGTGAGAGATGGCAGATATTATTCCCATCTTACAGATGGGAATGGAGACTAAGTGACCTATGCAAGGTCATGCAACTGCACAACTGGCATTAGTGTAGTCCCAGACCCAAACCGGGACTTCCAACTTCAAATTCCTTATTTTTCTTCATTGCATTCCATTCATCAATTTATTTAAATATTTTTTCTTTATTAATTATAGAGAGAAAGGAAGGGAGGGAGAGAGAGAGAGAAACATTGATGAGAGAGAATATCAATTGGCTGCTTCCTGCATGCCCCTCACTGGAGATTGGGCCCACCACCTGGGCATGTGCCCTTCCTAACCGGGAATCGAACAGGCAACCTCTTGGTGCATGGATCGATGCTCAACTACTGAGCCACACTGGCCAGGCCATTGATTTATTTAATCTACAGTAGTCCCTCGCCACTTCACACTTTGACTTTTGTGGCTTCACTCTATTGTGTTATTTTCAAATATATTCATTAAAAAGTTGATCGAGACAGTGAAAATGATACAGTGCACACTCGGTTGTCTGAGTCAATTGTACACCCCTGTGTTACAATTAAAATTACTGTATGTATGGACTGTAGGCCTATGTATTCGAGCACCCCAGGAATCCTTCAACAGCCAGGTGCAACCGCTAGAGTCTGGAATGGATTAACTGCGATAAATGAGGGATGACTGTGCTATATTATTGAACACCGGTTGTTTCAGGTACTGTTTTAAATGGAACATATGAGGTTAAGAAAGTTGATAATCTGGCCCAGCTGGTGTGGCTCAGTGGCTGAGCATCGACCCATGCACCAAGAGGTTGCCTGTTCGATTCCCAGTTAGGGCACAAGCCCAGGTGGTGGGCCCAATCCCCAGTGGGGGGCATGCAGGAAGCAGCTAATTGATGTTTTCTCTCATGATGTTTCTGTTTCAATCTCTCTCTCTCTCTCTCTCTCTCTCTCTCTCTCTCTCCCTTCCTGTCTCTCTAAAATCAATAAAGAAAAAAATATTAAAAATGAAAGTTGATAATCTTTGTCTTTGGTTTCTCATCTTTAAACAAATGTACTACATGTACTTGGGGGGGAAGTAGTACAGTAGCTGTTACCTTGTCCCCACTCCTGATGCAACTGCTGTTATCTAGAAATCTTTGAAAATACATGGCAGGAGTCTCCCATTTCTGGATAAGGTCCTTCCTGGAGGTGGGGACTGCACTAGATGACCTTGGCTGGCCATCTCCATCCCCGAGGACGGCCACGACACAGGATAAATGAGCTACTCCTGGTAATAAGGGTGTTGGGCTTGCGGAGGGGAAAGGAGAGCAGTTCTACTGGAAAATGCTTCTGGAGAAACCCAGGGCCAAGCCTGGGGCCAGCAGGACCTTGGGAACAAGGTTCTCCCGCAGGTTTGACCTGTGGCCTGGGGGCGGGGCCCTGAGTGAGAGAGCCGGGGCGGGGCGAGGCGCGGGGCAGGGGCGGGGCGAGGGGCGGGGGCGGGGCGAGGCGCGGGGCGGGGCGGGGAGCAGCGACGTGGCAGCCGCAGGGGCGTGCGCAGCCGGTGGCCATCTTGGAGGCGGGGATGCGCGGAGGAAGGTGCTGTGTGCATCTTCCTCGTCTTCTCCAGTAGTGTTGCTCCCCTGATCTCCCTGTCCCCCACTTTTCAGCTGCCACACAGACACTCTCTCAGGCCCCCAGGTGAGCATCAGCCTGGGAGCAACGTGGGTGCATGCGGGCGGCGGGGGCACGGGGTGCGGGCGCTGGAGCCGGGCGTCAACGGGCGCAGCCCCTGCAAGGTGGGCGGGCGCCACGGTAGGCGAGGGTCAAGCTTTGTGGAGCCCCGCGGTGGTTCATCTCCGGCGCGGGCTTGGGGAGCTTGCCGGGTGCAGCCGGGGCGCGGTGCAAGCCAGGGAGTTGTGCGGTGGGTGCCTTTTTGGGCTTCTTGTTTCGGCACTTTGCTCTTGTCCAGGGACCGAGGCCGGCGCCCCTGGCCATTTGGCTCCACCTTCCAGCGCTCTGGCCGCAGGGGAGACACCGGGGGCTGGTGCCCGCTGACCTTAGCCCAGCCCTGCTGGGCCTGGAGACGTGGCAGGGCCTGTGGGGAGGCCGCTATCGCCTTGTACAGGAATTTCGACCGCTCCCGCCTTGTCTAGGTCAATAAACCAGCCCTGGCAGTGGGAAGGAAGTAGTTTATTTTCCAGTAGGTTCCTGGCACAGTGCCTACCGCTGCTCCAGGGGGGCTTTTGTGCTCTGCCTTTTGTTAGTTTCTAGGCCCTACTTCAGGCAAACTTACAGGGTAACTCATACCCTAGATTTGCAGAATTTACATCCAAGAGAGTTTTTGTCATTCAAAGTAGTCTTCAGAGACACCATGTACATTTCTGTGAACATGACACATTTGGGCATTACGGTCTTTCTTCTGTAAGCCACTATTTAATTCAGTGAACATTTGTGGAAGTTTATTTGGGGATCAGAGCTGAGAATGCAAAGACAAAACACTCAGACCTTGCACTGATGCTCACTCTCTGGTAATAGAAACTACCTTTTGCACCACTGATACGTTAACAATAATTGCTTTTAACAATAATTGCTTTTACGGTTATCAGCGCTACATTGTTCAGTTACTTTTCTTGTATCCGTATAAGTGGTCATCTACTTTAATGTTGATGCATAAATATTACTCTCTGTGCCCAGATTTGAGCACTAAAACCTTTACCCACTCTGACACTTGACTGTTATTTTATTAACAATAGCTTTTCTGTAGTAGAAGGTACTCCATTTATGTGTACAAAATTTACCTGATGTTGTCATTAAACCAGTTCTCAAATAGTAAAGCTTTTAAAGGCTGAAATAAATTGACCAGTTATTCCATGTTATGGTTGTATTCATTGTGCAAGTTCTTTTGCCAACACATTTGTTAATGTTTGGGATGGAGGGTCATCCTTAAATATGCCTTCCATTAGCCACTCTATGGATTTGGTAGTATCTGTGATAGGAAAGAATGACTACTAGAAAAATGGGAAGATGAAGAGAGAGCTTTGAGAAGGCATTGTGCATGTTTGCCTTCCACTCCTCACTCCAATTCAGACTGACTTCTATCCCCACTTCTTCCATGGAAACAGCTCTCACTACATTCATCTCCAGTTTAACAAATCAATTGAATTTTTTAGATATCATCCTCTTTGTTGTCTGCAGATTTTGATACTGTTGCCTATTTCTACCTGGGAACACACTGGCTTTTTCTATACCACAGTCTTCATGGTTTTCTCCTTATCTTTCTGGTCATCTTTTGTTCTTCTCTGTATGCTTGTCTTCTGCCCGGCTCCTCTTTAAGGATTGATTGAGTCATCTTCTCATTTCACTCTGTATCCTCTTCTTAATCTCATCTTAGAATGTGGCTTTAGAGACTGAGTAAAATGAAGGAACCCACACTTACGTGGTTTCTAAGCTGCAGACCAGTTGTCTTTCCTTGGATGTTTCAAGGAGCTTAAATTCAGCATGTCCAGTATAAACACTATATAACCCACCCCCCAAAGATAGCAAATACCTTGACCCTCTTCCATTGTTCCTAAGTGAGTGACACCACCATCTCTGTCCAGTTGTGCAAGTCAATCATCGCCCCATCATTGCCCCATATCCAGCCTAGGGCTGAGTCTTACCACGTAAACATTTCTTGAATCCACTCTTCTCCATCTCCACTATCACCACCTTAGTCTAGGCCAAAGTTTTTCAACTTTGGCAATATTGATATTTGGGGTCGGATAATTTTTTCTTGTGGGGGCTGCCCTGTATGTTGTAGGATTTTTAGCAGTATCCCCGCCTTTATCTGTTAGATTCCAAGAGTACCTCTCTAGTTCTGACAACCAAAAGTGTCTCCAGACATTGCCAAATGACCGTGGGATGAGGGGCAGAATCATCCTCTTCCCCAACTCCCTAGGTGTCTAGGGTGTTATTACTTCCTATTTGAACTACCTCTGTATCCTTCTTAATGGTCTTGCTTCATTTACTCTGACTGCCCTGTGGCCCCAGTATGCATACTCTCATCAAAAGAGTCTTTTAGTCACAACTATGAATTGTCAAAAGCTGGAATCAGTCTAAATGTTTTTCAACAGATAAATGGAGAAAACTGGTACATCTATAAAATGGAGTACTAATCAGCAGTAAAAAGGGACTAATTATTGATACATCCAGCAACTCAATGGATTTCAAGGGCAGTATGCTGAGTGAAAAAAATCCAATCTGAAAAGGTCATATGCTGTGTGATTCTATTTATGTAACATTCACTAAATGAGAAAATGTTAGAGAACATTTGGTTGCCAGGGCTAATTGTGGTGGAAGAGTGTGACAGAAGTGTGTAAGGGGTTTCTTGGGGGTGACAGAACAGTTCTGTATCCTGATTGTGATGGTGGTTACATGAGTCAGTGCATATAACGCAAATTTCATTGATCTATGCAAACACACTCACACACCTGCACAAATATAAAAACAGGTGAAATCCAAATAAGGTCTATAGTTTACTTACTAGTATTGCACAAATGTTAATTTCCTAGGTTTGATCATTGTACTATAGTTATATAAGATGCTATTATTGGGAGGAGCTGGGTTAGAGGTACTAATGAAGCTATTTTATTTCTGCATCTTCTTGTGAATCTAAAATTTCTTCAAAGTGTTAAAACAAAAGACAAAAAATGTTACTGCCAGCTTAAATGCCCTATAGTGACTTTCTGTCCTTAAAAAGCCCAATTCCTTAACCTGGCTTATAAGGCTCAACACGGCCTGGGCTCCTGCCTATGTTTCCAGTCCTCATTCTTCTTTTCTGTTCTGTGCCACATGGGTTTTCTTGACTGTGCCTTGTTCTCTCTACCTTGTTAGGGTCTTTATACTTCCTATACATTTACTTTTTTTGTCTAGTTAAATCCTGTACATTCTTCAGATCCTTGGGGGACCCTTACCTGACCTTCAGGTCAAAACTATATTCCTGTCAAACAGAACTGTTCTTATACTGAGAGCACACAATTCAGGCTACAATTCATTGTACACCAGTATTATTCTTTGAGTCCTGGACTGGACTGTAAGTTCCCTGTTTTTTCATCCATTGTATTTGCAGAGGTACCAGTACAGTGCTTGGCAAGGAGCCGACCTTCACTGAATGATAAATGAGTAAAGACATCAAAAACAAATTTGGTATATTTAGAAGTTTTGAGTTTATGCTGGAGACAGGCTTGAAAATTTGTAATTTTTAAAGGAATTTTTCCATATTTTATAATCATTGTTAGAACCCTGGTATCTAGTGGCATTTTTGCTGTAGTTAACTTCTCTAAATCTTGACACATATCCTTTAGCCATTATTGGGTATGCTTTAGAATGTGAGGAAAACTGAGAATTGAGCAAATTTTATTATTTTTTACTGTTAACAGGAGTAGCCCACATACAATGCTTTATGGGGAGAAAAGAAGTGTTTCAAAAATACTGATTTTTATTAAATTGTAATAGTGACTGGAACCTAGATATAAATTTAATATGCATTCATGTGGCAGAAAGTAGATTAGTAGTTTATTATTTGAAATATATTGGATAATTAGTTATATAGTTAACATAAAATCATGATTAATTATATAGTTAACATAAAATTATTTCCCAATAATAAATATGTGTATGAAAATGTCACAGATTGTTTGCACATTTGACATTCTCCCTGGCAAGTTTTTTAAGGAATTTTGACTGACCCTTCATCTGTAAATAAGTGGCATTATAAATATAAAGACTAATCTGTCTCTTAATGATTATTCTTTAAATTTATTCTCTATATACACTTTAAAATATGCTTTTGACTACTGTGTAATATTTATTACATTTTTATATTTTTACAGTATATCATAATTGAAGAAAAATGATGGAAGAGAGTGGGATAGAGACAACACCACCTGGAACTCCTCCACCAAATCCTGCGGGGCTGGCGGCTGCCATGTCTTCCACCCCCATCCCTTTAGGTACGTGGAGTTGTCCAGCGTCTAGAGTGTTTTGAGGATACTGAAGAGACTGTCTTTTCTGAGTCAATCTAAAAAAAGAATGTGTATCTTAAAACTTCTCCGATCTTGCCAAGATGAAGGGAGATAGCCTTTTAATTTAAGCCCAAAGACAGAAAACATGTATTTTGCTGTATAGAGGTGAACTTTTTTTCTTTACATTCATATTGACTATAAATCATCTTTCTTATGACACAAATATTCCAAAAAGCTGTGTCTCATGTTATGTGACTTTGTGGTGATTAATCTACTGAAAAAGTTTTTGAGCCTTCAGTATGTAGGTTTTTATGCTCATATCAGCTTTATTTTATTAAAAGACATCAAAGCAGCCCGGCCAGTGTGCTCAGTGGCTGAGCATCGACCCATGTACCAAGAGGTCGCAGGTTTGATTCCTAGTCAGGCAGGGCACATGCCCAGTCTGCAGGCTTGATCCCCAGTTAAGAGCATGTAAGAGGCGGTCAATCAGTGTTCTCTCTCATGGATGTTTCTGTCTCTCATTCTTTAATATCAATAAAGAAAAAAATAAAAAAATAAAAGACATCAAAACAAACAAAACACAAGTTCAATACCATAATTGTATATAGCTGCTTTTATTTATGGGAATTGAATGTCATATTTGTTGTATATTTTAAGTTACACATTTTTTAGAATCTTGGGAGGTGGTCGGCTATATTTAAATGTTTTGCAAGAAGAAAGTCATGAAAACTAAGTGAAAAGCATTTCTAATTTTGTGGGTTTTTTTTCCTCTTTCCTTTTTCCTAGCTGCAACCAGTTCTTTTTCTTCTCCAAATGTATCTTCTGTGCAGTCCTTGCCACCGCATGCATCCTCTTCCCCTCAGCCGTCCCTTCCTCCTGCGAGGCCTTCAGCATCATTGCCTTTTGTGCCCCCTTCACCAGTTCCTTCTGTTCCACCACTTGTCACTGCTATACCACCTCCTGTTTCTCCACCCGCTGCTGCTGCCTTTAGTAATCCTCCTTTACCCCACCTCCCAGCTTCAACTTCTGCCCCAAGTGCTCTTCCATCTGCGCCCCCTTTGGGTCCTCCTACATCAGGATTTTCTGTTGGTTCAGCGTATGACATTACGAGGGGACATGCAGGAAGAGCTCCCCAGACACCCTTGATGCCATCATTTTCTGCACCTCCAGTAACAGGTAATCCTCTCTTACTGATGCTCTGAAATAAATGTTTGTAGCTAATGTTTTGTTTTTGTTTTTTTTTAAATAATAGCTTTATGCAGATATAGTTTGCATACCATATAGTTCTCACATTAAAGGGTATAATTCATTAGTTGTTAATGTATTTACAGAGCTATACAACCGTCACAATTAAATTTAGAACCGTCACCCAGAAAGAAACTGCATAACTACTTGCAGTCATTCCGTACTTCCTCCTAGATCCTCACAGCCCTAATCAACCACTAATTTATTTTCTGTCTGAATTTGCCTATTTTGGACATTTCATGTAAATGGAATCTTATAATATGTGGTCTTTTGTAACTGGCTTCTTTACTTAGCATATTTTCAAGGTTCGTCCATGTAGCATGTATCAGCACTTCATTCCTTTTTATGACTGGATAATATGCCATTGAATGGATATACCATATTTTGTTTAGTCATTTCATCACTGGATTGTTTCCACTTCTTGACTGTTATGAATACCACTTTTATGAATATTTGTGTACAAGTTTTTGTGTGGACATATTTTCATTCTTGGGTATGTATGAAGGCATGAAATTGCTGACTTGAAAAACCAGCAGACTCTTTTCCAAAGCACCTCTCTCACCAGCAGTGCATAAGGTTCCCAGTTTCTTCTCTGCATGAATGTTTTAAACGCATTTCTTTGACTTACAGAGTTTCCTATTCTCATGTTTTTGCTATTTAAATTATTAAACTAAAGCTGATGTAACTTAGTATATGATTTTTATGTGTTGTAAAACTTAGTAGTACATGATTAGTATATGGAATGTCAGACAAAATTCTAAAATGTTGTCCTAACATTTTATGCACTTATAGAGAAACATCAAGGTGAAATTTGAGAGTTTCTTAAAGCGTTACTTAAAAAATGATCAGGACTGAGTGGTCTAAGGAATAGTTTTATTCAGCCTGGAAAAATTCAAAGCCAGATAAAAGCTCCTGTGTGCTATAAGTTGGTAGTATTGGGCCATTTACTCTTCTGGGTCAGCTATACCTTCTGCTGGCCTCTCTGGAATGGTTGTTGGAAAGCAATATCAAAACTTCATCCTCGTCATTTTCTGCCTGTTGTTTTATTTTAGGAAAGTAAGCAACTTTGTTGTAATTTTTATTATCCAACTTTTTGTATTCATATTTACAAATAAAATTTTTTGCAGAGTACATATATTGTACCTATGTTTATATATATGTGAATTTTCTTTTTGAGTTAAAATATGGTAGGTAGAGTATGTGTACCAATTGTTTTATGCTATTATATGATAGGCCTGGGTGTTTATGTCGATTTTTATGCGTTAAATAAATTAGAACTATAGCTGTCCATGTCCAAGTGCTAAATAGAGTAAACATAAAGTACTTTTTGATTGTTATTTTTTGGTCCATTTTTAGGCCAGTTGGTGTAAGTCTATGAAAAAGAAAAAAATTTTTTTTAGAGGTTTGTTTCATTTGTATTTTATAAAATAGGTTTAGGTGATTGAGTTCATAACTCGAACTTGAAATGCATGGGTATATAGTTACATTATTTAAGCTGTTTTAAACTGTTCATCTCATATCTTTTTATAGGAAATAATTTGTAGACTGAATTATATATACCAAACATTTTTGCCATTAACTAGGTATTGTGCCAACCCCCATTACTCAGCAAGCCAGTTTGACATCTCTGGCCCAGGGAACTGAAACCACATCAGCCATTACTTTTCCAGAGGAACAAGAAGATCCTAGAATTGTTAGAGATCAGGATGAAGCATCTGCTGGTGGACTCTGGGGTTTTATTAAGGTAAGCCGTATTTACTTTTAAAACCATGTTTAATTTTTAAATTATGAAACTAATAGATGTTCATTAGAGCGAATTTTAAAAATACAAAATAGCATAAGGAAAAAAATTCTTTTTATTCTCTTTACCAGTTTTCTATAGTTCCCCTCAGAATTTTGTATGTGCATATTCATGTAGATATATCTCTTTTAAACTAAAAATCACACTGGGGCAGTGACATGTGGACACACACTATTTTCTCTTTTGTTTGTCATTACCTATCATGTATCAGGGATATCTTCTTAGCCATAAAATATCTTCAGAAATATTTTTCTTTTTGGCTGCCTTGCCCTATGGATTTATTTCCCCTATTTTATTTTGCTAATGTGCTTTGGCATTTTCTAATTGTAATTCTTTTCAATAAACTAAAGAATATTCTTATATGCAGGTGTTTGTGTTCAGCTCTTATCAGGATTAATTCCTGATGAATGTCAGAGTGAACATTTTAAAATAACTTACACGTATTGCTGTCAAGGAAGGTCTTATATACCAGAATAGGCTGTTACAGCATTTTTCACTTTGCCAGCGCTGATTGATTAACTTGAAGTACAATATTTTCTAATTTAATAGGCAAAACATAATACCTTGCTTTAATTTGCATTTCTTCATTACTGAATTTGGACATTTTTTCATATGATTTATTTGCTGTTTGTAGTTTTCTTTTGTGAAGTCTCTATGTTCTTTGCTCAGTTTTGAATTAGGATGATTTTCTTAATGAATTCATAGGAGCTGATGGTGTATTAAGAATATTTTACTATATTTTATTAATATTTATTATATGTGGCAGTTTTATCCATTTTAATCTTGCATGTTAATTTTATTATGCTTTTTGACATGAAAGTTTCTAAATTTCCAGGATTCATTTCTGTCAGTCTTTTCTTTTCCATTTTTTTTCATGATAAAATGACCCTTTTCCACCACAATATATATTTTTCTTTGATTTCTTCTAATTCTTTTTACACTTAATGCAGCTGATATTTACTTTACTATGAAGTAGAAGTCAACTTTAATTTTTTTTCAACCACTTAATTGATATTCCAACATAATATCTCAGTGATTTGATATGTCACCTTTATCGTAGTTACTGAATGGTTGGTTAATATCAATTTCTAGGCTGTGTATTCTATTGCACTGTTCTGCCTGTCCTTGCAATAGTACCACACTATTTTAATTATTGTAACTATTATATTAATATTTATTGAAAGCCTACTATGTGCTGAGGTAGGGACAGGGGAGTGTTCATTGATGATGAGTAAGCTAGGTCAGTTCCAAGTCTTTGCATTTATAAAGACACACCAGTATTTGGTTGTATAAATTTGCTGATTTCTTCTTCTTTTTTCCTTTACTAGTTTTTACCATTTATTTTTCTCAATGAAATTTGGAATTGCTTCGTCAAGTACCCCCCAGTATTCTGCTGGTGGTTTGTTTGGCTGCACTTTAATTGTGTATTAAACATTTTTAGATTAGTAGGTGGTTAATTGGAAACATTTTTAGTGTTTCATGAAGATGGCATTCTTCTAAGCTGTATTTTTTTAAAGGTTTCCTTTATATAAAGACCACTTCCTTTTCTTGTTAAACTCATGTCATTGTGTCAGTTACCAGTTGAAATACCTAGTTCAACTCCACAAGTCTTGTGAATAACTTATGATATTTAGTATAAGGTTGGTTGACAGTCTTCAATATCAGTGTTAATGAACTCATCTTTTTTTCTAAATCACCTTAGTTTAATGGTAGGTTGGAAGAGATGGAATCATGATTGTTAGCCAGATGCCATCTTGAGTCATTGCTCTCTCTAGTATCTTTTACGATGGGAGAAGTATAGCAAAGAAAGTACTCAGACCTCGTTCCTTTGGTCTAATGTGTGGTTTTTAAGAATGAGGTGGGTGCGCCTGGCCGGTGTGGCTCAGTGGTTGAGTGTCTAGCCATGCACCAAGAGGTCACCGGTTCAATTCCTGGTCAGGGCACATGCCCAGGTTGTGGGCCTGGTCCCCAGTGGGGGGCATCCAGGAGGTGGCCAATCGATGTTCTCTCTCATCAATGTTTCTCTCTCTCTCTTTCCCTTCTTCTCTTTAAAACCAATTAAGAAAAAAAAAAAAAAAAAAAAGAATGAGGTGAGTGCAAGGCCTATCGAGGGGTCACTTTGTAAGTTATATATATGTCTATTCACTGTGCTGTAGATGAAACTAATACAATATTAAATGTTAACTCTTAATTGGGAAAAAAAAAAGGAAGCCAGAGGAATAGGTCTGGCTTAAAAGGGAGAATTTGGGTATGAACAAAACAAGAAACGGGAACTAGGAAACAGAAGAAACTTTGGTAGAACATAGAAGAATATTTTATATTAAGGTAATAGGTAACTGTTTTGGGGAATAAACATGAGAACTATTTTCACTATTTTTATTTTTATTAGGGAACAAAGTATGGGTCTATGGAGACATCTGATTACAATATTTGGGACCTTGATGGGCAAGTTTTGCATAGTCTTTTATATAAAGAAATGAAATGAAGTAATATTGACATAGAAATGAAGTAAATATATATACATAAGCACCTATATCTATATGCAATATACATAAGACCAGTGCTACTCAAAATGTAGTCTGCAGTCTGTTGTGAGTCTGTGATAGAGAAGAGGAGAAATTGAGGGGTAAGCATTTTGAAACTTAATAGCAATTTAACATTGCCATAATCTTCTTTTTCTTTTTTTTTATTAATTTATTTTTGTTACAGATGTTTCTCCTTTTTCCCCATTGATACCCTCCTCCCCATTCCCCCCAGCCCGTCCCCAGATTTGTTGTCCATGTCCATCAGTTTTGCATACATGCATATAAGGTCTATGGTTTATCTATTCCTTCCCCTGCCACTCCCTCTTCTGAGGATTGTCAGTCTGTACCCTACTTCCATGTATCTGGGTCTACCCTATTCCTCAGACTGTTATGTTCATTATATTCCACAAATAAGTGAGATCATGTGATACTTGTCTTTCTCTGCTTGGCTTGTTTCGCTTAGGATAATACTCTTCAGGTCTTCCCATGTCGTCTCAAAGGATACGAGATCTTTCTTATGGCTGCATAGTACTCCATTGTGTATATGTACCACTGCTTTTTTATCCATTCGTCTACTGATGGACACTTGGGCTGTTAACACATCTTAGCTATTGTAAATAGTGCTGCTATGAACATGGGGATACTTATATTCTTTCTGATTTGTGTTTTAGGCTTCTTATTGTATATTCCTAGAAGTGGGATCACTGGGTCAAATGGCAATTCAATTTTTAATTTTTTGAGGTAACACCATATTGTTTTCCATAGTGGCTGCACCAGTCTGCATTCCCACCAGCAGTGTACTAGAGTCCCCCTTTTTCCACAACCTCCCCAACACTTGTTTGATGATTTGTTGATGGTGGCCTTTCTGAAAAGTGTAAGGTGATACCTCATTGTTGCTTTAATTTGCATCTGTGATGATTAGTGATGTTGAGCATTTCTTCATTTGTCTCAGCCATTTGTATGTCCTGTTTGGAGAGGTGTCTATTTAGTTCCTCTGCCCATTTTTTCATTGGGTTCTTTGTCTTCTTTTTGTTGAGTTGTATGAGCACTCTATATATTTTGGAAATTAACCCCCTATCTGATATATCATTGGCAGTTATGCTTTCCCATACACTGGGTGCCCATTCCATTTTGATGGTTGTTTCTTTTGCTGTGTGGAAGCTTTTCAGTTTGATGTAGTCCCACGTGTTCATTTTGTCCTTTGTTTCTGTTGCCTTAAGTGATGTATCAGTGAAAATTGTGCCGTGCGTGATGTCTGAAATTTTGTTGCCTACATTTTCTTCTAGGATATTTATGGATTCATGAGTCACATTTAAGTCTTCTATCCATTTTGAGTCTATTCTTATGTATGGTATAAGTTGATGATCTAGTTTCATTTTTTTGCATATCGCTGTTCAATTTTCCCAACACCATGTATTGAAGAGGCTGTCTTCATTGTATTGTATGTTCTTTCCACCTTAGTCAAATATTAATTGAGCATAATGTCTTGGGTCCATTTCTGGGTTCTCCGTTCTGTTCCACTGCTCTATATGCCTGTTCTTGTGCCAGTACCAGGCTGTTTTGATTACAGTAGCTTTGTAATATAACCTGATGTCTGATAATGTGATCCCTCCTACTTTGTTCTCTTTTTTTCAAGATTGCTCTGGCTATTTGGGCTCTCTTTTGGTTCCATATAAACTTTTGAAGTATTTGTTCTAGTTTTGTGAAATATGTCATTGATATTTTGTTAGGGATTGCATTGAATCTACAGATTGCTTTGGGTAATATGGACATTTTAATGATGTTAATTTTTCCAATCCATGAACAAGGTATGTGCTTCCACGTTTTTATATCTTCCTCTATTTCTTTCTTCAATGACCAGTAGTTTTCTGCGAATAGGTCCTTTATTTCTTTGGTTAAGTTTATTCCTAGGTATCTTAATTTTTTTTGCTGCGATGGTAAATGGCATTGTTTTTTAGTTTCTCTTTCTGTGAGTTCATCATTGTTGTATAAGAATGCCATCGATTTCTTGATGTTCATTTTGTATCCTGCTACTTTGCCAAATTCATTTATTAAGTCTAGTAAATTTTTGATGGAGTCTTTGAGGTTTTCTATGTATAGTATCATGTCATCTGCGAATAATGACACTTTCACTTCCTCCTTTCCAGTTTGGATCCCTTTTATTTTTTCTTCCTGTCTGATTGTTGTGGCTAAGACTTCCAGTACTATATTAAATAAGAGTGGCAAAAGTGGGCATCCCTGTCTTGTTCCTGTTCTTAAGGGAAATGCTTTTAGTTTTTGTCCATTGATTGTGATGTTGGCTGTAGGCCTTTCATACATGGCACTTATTATGTCGAGATATGATCCCTCTATTCCCACATTGCTGAGCATTTTTATCAGAAATGGATGCTGGATTTTGTCGAATGCTTTTTCAGCATCTATTAATATGATCATGTGGTTCTTATCTTTCATTTTGTTTATGTGCTGTATCACATTTATTGATTTGTGAATATTATACCAGCCTTGCATCCCTGGGATGAAACCCACTTGGTCATGGTGAATAATTTGCTAGTGTTTTGTTAAGGATTTTGCCATCTATGTTCATCAGGGATATTGGCCTATCGTTTTCTTCTTTTGTAGTGTCTTTTTCAGGTTTTGGAATTAGAATTATGCTGGCCTCATAAAACGTGTTTGGAAGTCTTCCTTGTTCTTGAATTTTTTGAAATAGTTTGAGGAGAATGGTTGTTAGTTCTTCTTTGAATGTTTGGTAAAACTCCCCCGTGAAGCCGTTTGGGCCTGGGCATTTGTTTGCTGGGCGAGTCTTGATTACATCTTCAATTTCCTTAGTTGTTTTTGGTCTGTTCAAATTTTCTATCTCTTCCCGGTTTAGTTTTGGGAGACTCTGCGTTTCTAGAAATTTGTCCATTTTGCTTAGATTGTCGAATTTGTTGCCATATAATTGTTCATAGTATTTGCTAACAATCCTTTGTATTTCTGTGGTGTCAGTTGTTACTTCTCTTTCATTTCTGATTTTGTGTATTCGGGTTCTCTCTCTTTGTTTCTTGGTGAGTCTAGCTAAGGGTCCATCCATCAATCTTATTTATCTTTTCGAAAAACCAGCTCTTTGTTTCATTGATCCTTTGAATTGTTTTTTTTTTTTTTGTCTCCATGTCATTTATTTCTGATCTGATATTTACTATTTTCTTCCTTCTACTTGCCCTGGAGTTTTCTTTTGTTTGCTTTCTAGTTCTGTAAGTTGTAAGGTTAGATTGTCTATTAGAAATTTTTCTTGTTTCTTGAGGTAGGCCTGTAGTGCTATGAACTTTTCTCTCAGAACTGCTTTTGCTGCATCCCATAAATTTTGTGTTGTGTGTTCATTTTCATTAATCTCCTCGGTAACCCATTCATTGTTTAATAACATGCTATTGAGCCTCCATGTGTTCAAATGTCTTTGCATGTTCTTGTTGCAATTGATTTCTAGTTTCATGGAATTGTGATCTGAGAAGATGCTTGATATGATTTCAATCTTCTTGATCTTGTAGAGACTTAGTTTGTGCCCTAACATGTGGTCTGTCTTTGAGAATGTCCCATGTGCACTTGAGAAGAATGTGAATTTTGTAGTTTTGGGGTGTAATTCTCTGTAGATATCTACTAAATGCATTTGGCCTAGTGCTTCATTTAGAGTCTCTGTTTCCTTGTTAATTTTTTGTCTAGAGGATTTATCCAGTGATTTCAGCGTGGTGTTGAAGTCCCCTGCTATGATTGTATTGCTGTCAATTTCTCCTTTGAAGTCCTCCAGAAGATTTTTAATATATTTTGGTGCTCTTATATTGGGTGCATATATGTTATATCTTCCTATTGGATAGATTCTTTCAATATTATATAATGGCCTTCTTTGTCTCTAGTTATGGCCTTCATTTTGAAATCTATTTTATCAGATATGAGTATTGCTACCACAGCTTTTTTTCCTTTCCATTTGCTTGGAAGATTTTTTTCTATCCCTTTACTTTCTACCTATGTGAGTCTTTTGTTGTGAGGTGGGTCTCTTCAAAACAACATATATGCGAGTCATGCTTTCTTATCCAATCAGCTACTCTGTGTCTTTTTATAGGAGCATTCAATCAATTTACATTTAAGGTGATTATTGATATGTACTTATTTATTGCCATTTTTGTTTAGCGTGGTTATATTTTTCTTCCTATTTTTTCTAATTATAGCAGTCCTTTTAACATTTCTTGCAGCTGATTTCGTGCTAATGTATTCTCTTAGCCTTTTTTTCGTCTGGGAACTCTTTATTTGACCTTTTATTTTGAATGATAGCTTTGCTGGATAAGTAGTCTTGGATTCAGATCCTTGTTTTTCATGACCTTGATTACTTCATGCCATTTCCTTCTGGCCTGTAGTGTTTTGTTGAGAAGTCATCTGATAGCCTTATGGGGGTTCCTTTGTAGGTAACCTGTTGCTTATCTAGTGCTTCCTTTAGGATTCTCTCTTTGTCTTTAATTTTTGGCATTTTAATTACTATGTGTCTTGGTGTGGGCCTGTTTGGATTCTCTTACTTGGGGCTCTCAGTGCTTCTTGAACTTGAATGCCTTTTCCCTTACCAAATTAGGGAAGTTTTCTGTCACTATTTCTTCAAATATATTCTCTAACCCTTGCTCATTTTCTTCTTCAGGGACTCCTATGATGCGAATATTACTACGTTTCCAGTTGTCACACAGTTCTCCTAAGCTGTCTTCCTGTTTTTTGGTTTTTCCTTTTGGTCTTCTGATTCACTGATCCAGTCCTCAGCTTCCTCTAGTCTGCTGCTTAGTCCTTTCAATGTGTTCTTTATTTTTGCTATATCATTTTCATATCTTCTTGGTGGTGTTTCATTTCCAGTTGGTTGATTTTCAATGTTCCTATGTCTTTACTCATGTTGTTGATGTCCTTACTCATGCTGTTGAGCTTCCTCATGATCATGGCTCTGAACTCTACCTCTGATAACTTGCTTAAGTGCATTTCATTGATCTCATCTTCGGTAGAGGTCTCTTGTTCTTTCATTTGGGATTTTTTTCTTTGTTTCACCATTTTGGCTATCTAAGTGGGTTTTGGAGCCTGCCAAATTTTCCCTGTGGGTCTTGGTGTTCTGCTGTTTTTGGCTCCCTCTACTGGGTTTGGATGAGCGAGGAAGGACCCACGTTAAAGCCGTTTCAGGGCTTACTTTCCTGGGTAGATTTGGAAGCCCACGAAAGGTTCAGTTATCCTCTAGCTTTTTGCCAGGAGGCTATTAGTCATGATTACTTGAAGAGCCTTGGGTTCTCAGTTGAATGAAAAACTCCCTCAGCTGTTCAGCATAAGATTTCCCGAGGGTGGGGCAGATGCTGGTTGTGAATGAGCCTCAATTTTCATTTTAATGGCCTACCTGGGTGGGGTTGAATCTCTGAGGGAGGGGCTGCCACCTCTCCCCAGAGTGCCATGGAGCAATATGGCCACCATTGTCGATGGCCAGAACTCAGCAAAAGCTCTGAGCACCCTCCAAGTCCAAAGTGTCCCCACATAGTTCCAGTTCAGTCTGCCCTCCCTCTGCTGGAGCCCAAGGTGAGTGGCTGTGGCTAATTTAGTGCTCTGTCCCAGCTCTGCACTGTGGAGCAGGCTTGGGATTTTAACCCCGAGGGTGCTGTTCACAGCTAAGACTGCTGCTGTCCGTGGGCTTCCAGCCCCCCTCTCATGCCTCTGCAATCCTACCAGGAATGATTCAGTGTCCCTTGTTATATGTTCCTTGCAAACTTCTTTTCTCTTGTTTTTTTCTCAACGATTTGTCTTTATTTTAGTTGTAATTCCAGTTTGGTCCTGGGAGATGGTCTGTGTAGCTTCCATTCACTCTGCCGCCATTTTGGAATCCAACCTTGTTTTTCTTATGTTTTGCAAAAGTACTGGTCTGTGATACATTGAAAACCTAAAAAAAAATAATTTCTTTCATTATTAGTTGATCATGGTGGTCTTTGCTTAGAACAGGTATTTATATGTTAATTTGTTTTATGCAGGGTGTAGCTGGGAATCCTGTGGTGAAGTCTGTGCTTGATAAAACAAAACATTCTGTAGAAAGCATGATTACAACGCTGGACCCTGGCATGGCTCCATACATCAGTATGTACTTAAGACAGACCAACACCTGCCATATATTTTTTAAGTATATGCCAGTGTCAGCCACTAATTGTAATTCTGCAGGTCTTGTAGTCAGTGAAAATCCTCTTATATTCTTATATGAAGTTGATTGTCAAATCTTAGTCTTGGTATTTTGAATTCATCTTTATCTTAGTCACCATTATATGCATTTTTCAAACTATTCAGAATGAACTTTGGAGGAGTAATAACAATATGAATTATTAGTATACTACTTAGTGATTTTTAGTGTAAGTGTGGTTAGTGTTGCTTTATATAACTTTTACTTTATTTACTGCTGATATTTGAATTGATGCTTTGTTCATATTTGGTTTTGACATTTCTCTAGTTATATATTTTAAATAAGTATGTTTATACTTAACTCAGTAATATATTTAGAGGAAGTTAACCTATTTGTTAACATCTGACTACTAGGTTTGTTGTGAACGCTGTTTTAACTAACACTTTTGAATCTTCATTACCAAGAATCCTACAGACACTTGACATAGTCACACCGTCTACCCTTTAATTTCTAATATACATATCCAGTATGTGAAAAAATATAATTGTTTGGTAGTATCAGTGACCAATTATTAGTAGTCCTGTTGAAGATAACTTACAAGCCAAACCTGTATACCAGGGATCTGAATATAGATTTTCAGTGGCAATGAAAAACCAATAGCTTTAATGAGTCTTGACTATGTTGGTAGTTTACTCTCTCTAATTGTCAGAGGAGCCCTGGCCGGTTTGGCTCAGCAGTTGGAACGTTGGCCGTCGGCCTGCAGACCAGAGAGTGCTGGGTTCTGTTCCCGCTAAGGGCACGTACCAAAAATAAATGAATGAATAAATAAGTCATAGGACAAGATCTAACAATGACAAGTACCATTTATTAAATGCTTTCTCTGCCAGGCACTGATTCTCACAAGAGCTCTGCAAGGTGGCTGTTCTTTTCCTCAAGTTTTAGATGAGGAACCTGGGTTCAGAGAGATTTAAGTTATTCTAGGTCACACAGCTTGATGGAACTAGATTGAACCCATGTTTAGTTTTTTTACACCTAGCCACTTTGCTTCCCCTGAAGTAGAAAATGGAATCAGGAATTAAATCAGCTGAATTATTCTTAGTGTTTGTAACTGCCAAAAGACTTAGAAGTCAGCCTCTATCATATATATTGATTTTATATATTCATAATAATCAAGTTTGACCGTGAATGCATCATATACATTCTTCACAAGCTCCTATTTTGAATGAGAGAAAGTATTTTTGGAGCTCTTGCTGTTTTAATCGGTACTGTGTTAGACTGTGAAAGCAATTATTTCATTTATTCTTGGAGCAAGTCCTGTGAGGTGATAGGTATTTTCCTATGAAACAAGTTCAGTGACTCCCCCAGTTCAACAAAGCTAGAAAATGATAGTTATAACTATAATCCAAGACCATTTCTCAAGGCAGCAGCCTACATGACATCAAGAAACAGTCAAAAACCAAGGGGTAAGGGAGAGAGATACAAAGTGAAGTTTCTATTATTAGTGTCATACATATCATCTTAATCAGTTAGTTTTAAAAAGTATACTGAGTGTGGAACAGGTGACACTTTCTTGCAGGCTGCAAAAGCAAGACCATTCTTATAAAACTCAGAATGAAACATGATCTTTCTACCCAAATATTCTAGAAGTCACTTGATTTAATCATTTTAAATGTATCAGAAAGGCACGAGAGCTATTAGAAATGATTTTAACTCCGTTTAACTTTCTACATCCTTTTAATTAGTTCTCCCTCTGCCATGAAAGGCAGCGCTGTGAAAGCTTAGTGGAGTAGTACTCAGCTGGAGTCGAGGTACGCACAAGTGGAAGAACAAAATGAGAAAAAAAGTATACTTTTCCTCTTCTCTCCTATGTGAACTATTGCTTTTAGGTTTTAGTAACTTCTGAAATTCTAGTAAAGATGGGATCTGTGGAACATTATGTCAAATCGGGAAAAGGGATCCATAATAAAAAACCCAAATATTTGGAAAATATTTTCAGCTATTCCACAAGGTATTTATTAGCAAAAACATAGCATTGTTTCTGGGTCAGAATGTTTTATAATACAGTTTCTTGAGAAATCTCTTTTACCAGTGATAGCCTCATGCCAAGTAGCAAATTGTCCTTTGCTAAGAACCCAGCCTTGAATTCAGTGTATCACAAGAGGTTAGATCCAGATTTAAAAGTAATCAGGCATATTTGATCAAATTACTCTAGTACACAGGTTTTTAAAAATAATTAATTGCAATATTAAAACGTTTAAAATACTTTAATATTTGCGCTTAGATTTTAAGTTTCAAGTTTTATAAAAGTTGATATTTCATTTCTTTAATGTTTGCATATTTATGTTAGGTCAATAGATGTATAATTTATAAATATCCATTTATTTGTGATATATGTTCTTTTTTTTCAGTGATGGAGTGTATAATAAAATTTCAACTCCATATTTTAAACTATTCTCTAGATAAGAAGCATATTTCATGGTAGTTCTTGTTTAGTGTAGAACTTCTGTGCAACTCTGACAAATTATCATATCAGTAACAGTCATTGTCTGTAAACAGAGTATCCCAGATGTGTAATTTATATTTCACAAGCCAGATATTTAATCTCTATGATTGCTGAAGGATGGTCAACTATGGCATCCATATGGTGTTAGAATTTTGTATATAATAGATGTCTGTCCCTATTAACTAGCAGGAAAAAAATTTTGATTTACAACCTTAAAAATGCATGTGCTTATCTAAAATTTAAACTAATCAGAAAATGAATCTTGGCTAAATTAATAGAGCAATATAATAGAAAAACTGTTTTCATAGTGGCCCTAAATTCATTTCTCAAATTGATCGTATGGAATACTTTTTGGGAGCTGTTATTGGATGCTAAATAAAGTGTGTTCCATGAACAGATTAAGTATGGAATGTACTGGGTAAAAGTTATGATTTTTCATTGTTGGATTTCTCAGAATCTTTACGCTATTGTACCATATAAATAAATTCCAAGAAATAAATATGGTGTACAGCATCTCCCAAGCTTGTCTGACCATAGCACGCTATTTTCAGGGAGAGCCACTTAACAGTATTTCATAGAATACAGAACAGGGCGATGGTATATTTGCGGCAGATGTCATAATCAGAACTATTAGAAGATATGTGTCATCTTCTGCTTGCAAATAGACTACCTCAGATAATACATTTAATTTTCATTTTTAAAACGAAGGAAAATTTGGTAGTCCTGGGCTAAGCTTTTGTTGGAATAGGATGCCTATATTGAATCATTCTGTGGGCTTAGTAATAATTATGCAAATAAAATGTCAGCTTATGGTAGTAATTATGAGAATTTCATTATTTTAATTTGGAATTTAAATTTTCTTCTGGTGTTTGTAGAATCGGGAGGTGAACTGGATATTGTAGTGACCTCAAATAAAGAAGTGAAAGTTGCTGCTGTCCGAGATGCCTTCCAGGAGGTCTTTGGCTTAGCTGTGGTCATGGGGGAAGCTGTTCAGTCCAATATTGCCCCACAACCAGTGGGCTATGCAGCTGGATTAAAAGTGAGTAGTAGAAGACCTTCAGGACATAAAAACTGGCAGTAATCTCTTCATAATTCTGCTAATAATCCTGTGGTCAGTACAGAGCTAATTGGTTTTTACATAATGAAATGATCAGCTTGGTTTTAATTAAACAACTCTGTAGTGTTATGAAGATATAAGTGGAGTCTTAATTTAAAGAAACCTAAGGTGGGTTTTGATTATTGGGGAAGGGGAGGAAACACATACACAGAGCATAGAAAGAAAGTAAGTAGTCCTAAAAGATACTCTTAACCCACTGTTAACATTCAAATCAATTACTAAAGACGTAACTAGAGTCCCATAAGCTTTTTATTACTGTCACTATTAATAACACTTTACACTAACCAATTTCTTCAGGGTTAGAGTCCCATGAAACTCTAATCATAGCATTTTTGCCAACCAATCAATATATGATTTTGATTTATGTCTACTTCTGTTTAAATCCACTTTAATGTCTATATATTTGATTCATTGACATTAAACTCTCACAGCCAACAACACTGTAATTCATGCCTAAATGAGGCTTATCTAACACGTATATGTTCTCCATATGGTACAACACAGTCTTCTTTGCTTAGGAACATTAGACAGCACTATACTTGGAGCCATTTTAAAATAGCAAAATCACCAAGAAAAAGCACAGCTGAAAAATATAGCACTAAATAATTTTATTGAAAAGCCAGTCATAGTTATGACCATTGTTGAATAGTTTCTAGATTATAAACACAGATGTAGTTAATACCTATAAGCATTTATTTAAAACCATGAAATTTTGCCCAGCCGATGTGGCTCAGTGGTTGAGTGTCGACCATGCGCCAAGAGGTCACCCGTTCGATTCCCGGTCAGGGCACATGCCCAGGTTGTGGGCCCGATCCCCAGAGAGGCGCATGCAGGAGGTAACCAGTCAGTGTTTTTTCTCTCATCAGTGTTTCTATTTCTCTCTCCCTCTCCCTTCCTCTCTAAAATTAATAAAGAAAAAAATATTTAAAAAATAAAATAAAGCCATGAAATTTTAATTCTGTAAACCAAGACTTGTGGTATAAGTCCTTACAGTACAGGGTAAGCTCTAGGGGCCTTTGGGTATCTCACTTCAGTTCTGAGGTAATTACTTCAATGTGGCCTCTATACTGCCTAATTTTTTATCCCCTATACTTTTGGAAAAGAAAGGTAAAATTCCATTCTCAAAACATTGGTAGGGAGTGATATTAAAATTTCTCTAATTGTGACTCTTAAAGATACCACATTTAATTAATGTGGATAGAAGAGGAGAATAATGGTCAATATAACCCCCTCCTCATTTTCTCTTCTGGATTCTGTAAACAAAACAAAGAATTAGACTTGTCTACCTAGCTCGCTTCTATATCTCTTACAGGTGCTAATTAATTTCAATGAAATATTTTGTGACCTTTATGAAGTATAAAGTCCAGTGCTGTAGTATACTAAGAAATCAACAAACTTAGTCTCTGTTCCCTGGAAGCATAAAATCTAGGAATATTCTGTTGTAGTGCGTAGCTGAGATAACCACCTTCAAAGAGTTAGGGATGAATCTCTAAACATACCACTAACTCCCTAATAGTTTTTACTGAGTTAACATTTATTTAAACATTATCATTAAAATTCAGCCATAACTACTACCTCTTTGGAGGAATGAATAAGGTAAATTTATAATATCCAGTATAAAGAATTAAGTGTATCATTCATTATATTTTTTTTCCAACTCAATACCTGCCTCCTCATTCAGTATTATTAGATTTGGTGAAAACATATTTATACTATTTAGATTCTTAACATTAGCGATATAGGCCTTCAGAAGCCCTTTAGTTTTTCATGTAGTAAATTGTTACTGAATGCCTATTAGGTTAGACATGTGCTAGATAGGAGGGATGTAAGAGTGAGCAAACACACAGTCGTGATTTTATTGTAAATATCTTCTTTCATCCTTCATCTTTATAAGCTAATGTCTCGAATTGCTGTACCTGTTCTCATCCAGTTTTCACTTTCTGTTCTTTCAGTTATGTCTGAAGTAAATTCAGTTGTCTCTAGAAGTGTTTTAGCTTAATCTTCAATTTTTATTTGAATAAAAATTGACCCCTTAATCTCATATACTATTAAGCTCTGTTGTTCATAATAAAAATAGGTATTTATCCATGGCTAATTTTATTTAGAAATAGATTTTTATCTTGCTTTTTGAACACATTTTCACATATCACTCATGATCAGTGATTCTGAAGTGATTCAGTTAAAAGTAATAAGTGGCAACCTTGTTTTCATTAGTCTAGTTTTTAGTTTTCTACAAAAAGATATATTTAATTCATGATTTTGATTCATCTGTATAGTGTTTGCAGCCCTTCAATTTTGTTTCATTAATGGTAATAATATTCCTGAATAAGCTTTGGTGTAAATGTATGCATTTCCAGTTTTAAAAAACTGTCATTTTTGGTTCATATATTAAGGTTATATTTAAAGGGAATCAGAAAGAATAAATTTACTATTGATATTTTGCCTACTTAGAAAATTTGAGAGAATTGACTAAAAAACTACTGGGATTGAGAAAAGATTTTTATTCACTAAGAGGGCCCCTTGGCAGATTAACATTAAAAAACAGTTTATTTATATTAATAACCATTTAGAACATAGAATACAGAAATAATTTATTTCACAGTAGCAACCAAAACAATAATGCAAATTGGAATAATTTGGAAGGTATACTTCAAGCTGAGAGTACTGAGAGGAACATGATTGGACTTTTTACTTTTTGTCCTCTGTATTGTTTGAATGTTTACAAGTATATATGTATTTTCATAAATGTATGCACACATTGCTTATATAATCATAAATTAGTATATTTAATAATGAATACTTTGAATGGTTTCTAACCTACACTGTGGTTATTCAGGGTGCCCAGGAACGGATAGATACCTTGCGTCGAACTGGAGTGATCCATGAGAAACAGATTGCTGTGTCGGTAGAAAACTTTATTGCAGAATTGCTTCCTGACAAGTAAGAGGCTTGCTTTTTCTTTTCTTCTTCTTTAAATAGTTACAATTTTTGCCCGGCCGTTGTGGCTCAGTGGTTGAGGGTCTTCTCATGCACCAAGAGGTTGCCGGTTCAATTCCCAGTCAGGGCACATGCCCAGGTTGTGGGTCCAATCCCCAGTGAGGGGCATGCAGGAAGCGGCCAATCAATGCTTCTCTCTCTCCCTTCCTCTCTCTCTCAAAATCAATAAGGAAAAAAACCCATAGTTACAAGGTTTTTTCCTGTAATGAGAACTCTGGATCTTTCTTAGCAACTTTCAGATATACAATACAGTATTATTAACTTTAGTCACCATGCTGTACATTACATTCCCAGGACTTACTTTATAACTTGAAGCTTGTACCTTTTGACCTTTACTGAGCCCCCACCTCCAGCCTCTGGCAATCAATCACCAGTCTGTTTGCTGTATGTGAGTTCTGTTTTTTAAATTTGTTTTTAGATTCCATACATAAGACAGATCATACAATATTTGTCTTTCTCTGACCTTAGCATAGTGCCCTCAGGGTCCATGCATGTTGTCATAAATGACAAGATTTGCTTATTTTTTTATAGCTGAATAATATTCCATTGTGTGTGTGTGCCACATTTTATTTATCCATTCATCTTTCAGTGGACACTTAATACTGCAGTGAACATGGAGGTGCATATATCTTTTAGTGAGTGTTTTATAACTTCTCAGATGTGGATTGCTGGATCACATGGTATTTCTATTTTTTAATTTTTTGAGGCACCGCCATACTGTTTTCCATAGTGGCTGCACCAATTTACATTTCCACCAAGTGTATAAGTTTCCCCCTTTTCTCCACATCCTTGCCAACACTTGCTATTTCTTGCTTTTTTGAGGATAGCCATTCTAACAGGTGTGAGGTGATAGCTCATGTGGTTTGGGTTTGTATTTTCCTGATGATTAATGATAGAGCATTTTTTCAGGGCATCTGATGGTTTTATGATTCTGGTTAGTTAAAATGCTGGTGGTGTTACAGTTGATGTAAGCATCTTAAATGTAAAAAGTGTTTTGATTTCATGAAGCTGTTTTCAAAGACTGAACAATTTAGAAAATGTCATTGGAAGGATTTATCGGGAATGAGGAAGGATGTTAGTCCCTCTGAGCTTATTTTGTAATTTGCTAATAACTTTTCCAGTTGACAATATATTAATGATAGAGGTGGTAATGTAGAATTGTCCCTATTTTCTCAAGTGACATTTACAAAATGTTTCGCATGACAAACTGTTTGCATGCTCGGGTGAGTAAATCTCCAGTACTTGACCAGTGCAGATTGCCATTCTCCTCTCCCCGGGCAGGGAGTGAGTGCAGCTGGAAGAGTAGAAAGAAGAGGGCGGAGACTGCAAGGTTCCTCAGCCAGCAGCTCCAGTAATGAGAGAGAGAAGGGGGTTGGTGGTATGGTCGGTATTGCAATTTTGGATTTATTGTGAGGGGATATCTGGCTTGACAGGTTCAGGAGCATGGCAGTATTTAGAGAACAAAGTGGACTTTGGAGTTCTGGTGTGTGTTCACTGGCGCCACAGAAGTCTCTCTACTTCTGCCTTCAGTGACTCTACTTTTCAGGAAGTCCATGCCCACACCTAACAGCTGAGTTACAGCGGTTCTCTTCTATCTGTATTATACACAAATCATGCAAAATAAAATATTGATTAGTATACCAAATAAATATTTTTTATTGAATTCATTGGGGTGACATTGGATCACAAAACCATGCAGGTTTCAAGTTTACAACTCAAAATATCATCTACACACCATGTCGCCCCAAGCAGAGTCTCTGTCCCCGTTTTCATCCCCCTACCCCTCTTTCCCTCTGTTATCACCATTCTGTTGTCTGTGTTATATGTACAGATGTCCCCCCACTCTCCCCCTTCTAACCCTTCACCTTCTTTCATCCAGTCCCCCAGCCCCTTCCCCTCTCCCTCTGATAGCTCCCAGTCTGTTCCTTGTGTCCATGCCTCTGTTTCTATTTTGTTAGTCAATTTCCAAATAAAAGTATTTAATGTTAATTTGAAACAGTTTTAGGATACATTTCAATATTCAGCAAAGTTGCTTTTGTTATTTATACTTTGTTGTGTCTTTGAATATATGTCTTCTAATATATTTTATATTGTATTATACTTTATTAGATTGACATAGTTTTAAAAATAAGGACACTGAACATTTTCTGGCTGCATATTCTGTTATAGTATTGCAGTTTTAGATTTATTGAGTCGAAGAGACGGGATGTCCGGTTGACATGGTTAAGAGCATGACAGTATTTAGAGAACAGAGGGGACCTCGGAGCTTTTCTTTTCTTTTTTTTTTATTCTCACCCGAGGACATCCCTCCATTTTTTGTTCAGATAGAGCGGGAGGGAGAGAGAAGGAGAGAGAGAGAGAGAGAGAGAAACATCGATGTGAAGGGACACATCGAGTGGCTGCCACCCTCACGACCGACCAGGGCCGGGGACAAACTGCAACCGAGGTACATGCCCTTAGCGGGAACCGAACCTGGGTCTCTGTACCGCAGGCCGACTCCAACTGCTGAGCCAAACCAGCCAGGGCGGAGCTTTTCTAATGTGCGTTCACTAGCACCACAGTGACTACACGAGAACTTTCCAGGATGAGGAACTTTCAGTTATTTTTTTATTATTGTTTCCCATTCTTTTTCTCCTCTTGGAATTAAGACAACAGGGGAATTATATATATTTTATGGATTGTCCTCTTGAAAATTTGATTAGAAAAACATTTCCTTTTTGAAATCTCATTTTATCTGAATGATAATACTTGTTTCTTTTCATTTTGTCTTTTTATTATAACTTATTTAGCACATAACTTGAAACTCATTGTGTTGCAGATGGTTTGATATTGGCTGTTTGATAGTTGAAGACCCTGCCCATGGCATTCACCTAGAAGCATTCACACAAGCTACCCCACTGCCTTTGGAATTCGTACAGCAGGTTTGTTTTCTCCTTTTCTTGTTTATTTTGCTCCAGGGAAACTTCTGATGTTGTCTTCAAAATAAAATGTGGGCAGATGTTTTTGTTGGAAATAGCCTGTTAGAAGAAATACCAAAAAAAGCTATGTTTCAGTACCTCCTTACTTTTGTTTTCCAACTGTCTTTGAAAAGGTCATATTACATGATTGTTCACTATTTTCCTCATTTTTATGATTGTGCTCCTTACCCTAAGATGAAAAATTTACCTTCTTCTGCTGGTTTTATGTTCACCTTTCCTTTGGTTCCCCTTAATCTTCCTCTTCGGTGGTAAGTAGAAACCTTAGTGAAAGACACACGTTTACCTGTGCACATCATTTCTAGACTATAAGCATATAATGACTCTTTCTATATTTTTGTTACCTTAATTCTTTCTTGAACAAAATGGAATGTAAATACCTATTTACATTGGAATATTTGTACTCCTAAATGGCATTTTTGTTGACTTTTTCCTTCGTTTTATAAAATTTTCATCACATTTGTACTCATGCACATTGTCAAATGTCATCTCAAAACTTTCTCTTAAGTTATTTGGGAGTTTGAGATCCTGACAAAGCTATTGAATTCTTTCCCAAGAAAATACACATATGTGCTCACATATAAATTTGGCATGTGTCCTTAGAACCCCTGAAAGCAGCTTGTGGCCCTCTTGAACCTTTTACTTATACCATAATTTCTTTTCAGAAGTACAAGTAAGCATTTTTATAGATGTTAACATTCAACTTCATTATGAAGGTGATTATAAGTTTGTAAGCAAATATTATGCATATTGTGTTATACCAATAAATTAGAAAAATTGGACAAAATGGTTGGTTTTTCTAGGGAAAAGTAAATTGCCACAGTTGATTTATGAATTAGTATTAAGTTGAAACAAGTGAAATTGCTGTCTTTTTAAATAAAAAACAGTAGCCATGGCCGGTTTGGCTCAGCAGTTAGAGCGTCAGCCTATGGACCAAAGAGTTGCAGGTTTGATTCTGGTCAAGGGCACATACCTCAGTTTGGTCCTCAGCCCTGGTCAGGGTCGTGCAGGAGACAACCAATTGATGTTTCTCTCCCTCCCTCCCACTCTATCTGAAGATAAATGGAAAAAAAATCCTCAGGTGAGGATTAAAAATGAATGTCAAATATTGGCACTTTCATATGATTCAACCTCAGTGAAGCTTTCCAAAGGTCATCTCATTAACATAAGGCATCTTTTTAGCTCTTATCACTTAGGAAATTATCAGAGTTTTAGGAGCTGCCAGAAATTGGAATGAAGACCAACTACGTATTTCTTCTTAGAGTCCACCCCCTACTCTTCAAACACAGATCCCTCATTGTGAAACAGTCCTGAAGGTCAACAGATATTGGCAGATTACTACAATCCCATTCAGTTGTTATAACTGTCTAGTCCATCACAGCGTATGAAAAAGTCGCCAGGGTGAGGCTGCTCAGGATGGCAGGCTTCCATCTGATCTGTTCAGGTTCCTAGAGCAGAATTGGTGTCAGCAGTGTGTGGCTTCACTCCTTCAGGCGTCTGGTAGAGCACACCTCACAAATACTGCAGGTTTGGCTCCAGACCATCACGATACAGTGGTATCTCAATAAAGTCACGAATTGCTGTTTCCCAGTGCATGTATGTTATGTTTACACAATACAGAAGGCTAATAAGTGTGCAATAATAGCATTATGTCTATAAAAAGCAGTACACGTACCTTAATTTAAAAATGCCAACCAGCCCTGGCCGGTTTGGCTCAGCGGTTAGAGCGTCGGCTTGTGGTCCAGAGAGACCCGGGTTCAGTTCCCACTAAGGGCATGTACCTCGGTTGCAGTTTATCCCCGGCCCTGGTTGGGTCATGCAGGTGGCAGCCACTCGATGTGTCCCTTTCATGTCGATGTTTCTCTCTCTCCTTCCCGCTCTATCGGAACAAAAAATGGAAAAAATGTCCTCAGGTGAGGATAAAAAAAATAAAAATAAAAATGCTAACCATTATCTTAGCCTGTTGGAAAAAAGGCTGTTAATAAACTTTCTTGATGCAGGGTTACCACAAACCTTTGGTTTGTAAAAAAAAAAAGCAGTATCTGCAAAGCAAAATGTGAAATGTGAAGTGAAATAAAATGAGGTATGCCTGTATAATCGAGCTAAGAGACAGTATCATCTCTTACACTAAGCCTTTTGAGTTGTTAGTGTAATATCTGATTTTCCCCATTACATAGATCATTTGTTCATTCTCTTACCCATAGCTACTATTTTTCTTTCTCTCCATTTATACCCAAACTTTCCTACCTTTGGAAGAGACATTAGGTTTGGCCACTGTGCTGGTCTAGAGAGCAGGCAGCAATACGACTCTAGCAAGTGCTTTCCCTCAGCCCATACGGGCATCCTTTTAATAGGCTAGGTTCCCATTGCCCTCCTGCCTGCCCATGAATCAGGAAAGAATGAAATTTGGAGTACTGTACCACTGTTCAGTTTTTTCATCACTGCTAGGAAAACAGTATGCACTTCAGCCCACCCGGCTGATTTGATTTTACCTTAAGTCAGAATGGTGGCCTTCCCAGTGGATGTTGTCCATTCACCCTGGAACTGCCATCCGTAGGGCACTCTCCGTGCAAGTGGTTGTTTCCAGCAGCTCCTCAGGTGGCTCCAGAATCGGTCCTGCAAGCAGAGAGACTGCATGCTCGTATCTCCTTGCTTCCCTAGGAGCACGAGCCTGTGTAAACCGTGTCCATACCATTGTAGAACTCGTCTGGTCACTGCCTCCCCATTAGGGCATTTCTTCAACATTACCTAGACATGTATGGGTATATTTCAGGTTTCAAGATCAGTGTAGGTCCTTCACTGATAGTAGTGTCAATTAATAACATCCAATAACAAGGTAGTAAATGCCCCTCAAATGGGACGTCTCTAGTCCAACGTCCCAGGAGTCATTGCTGGGAGGCACTCACAGGTTTGTGCCGTAGGCCCATCTGCACTCCCCATAGGGGTATGGCACAGGGATTTTTGCCCCTGCTGGCACTCCAGCTTTATTAACAATGCCTGTAGGGCAGATTCATATGCCTTCTATTTTGCAATAATCCTAGATAGGGGAAACATTCCCCAGTGAGACACAGTGTTAGTCCCCCAAATCTGAGGTAAAGGAAGCACGACCATGTCACATAAAGCCCATCAGACATACCAATTTCCCTACAAATTTGCACAGTAATTCCATCAGTTCTTAGGACTTTATTAACAGGGTTTGGTTTTATAATAGTAGGTAAGGGGAGTGTTCTCTAGCAGATATAATATCTATTCCCGTAAAACATCCAGGTAAAGGAGACACTGCTTTACATATACATGCTTAAACATTGAGCTTTCATGATTCTATCAGCCACTGTATTTATCGTCTTTCCATCTAACTGTAGCAGTCCTCAGGGAGTCCTGGAAACTTCTCTTCTCTCCAGACCCCCCATGGCCATCTTACCCAGTATTGGGGCAAAAGGCTCTGCAATAATAAAAATTAGAAACTGTAACTATAGAGGTGCTTCAGTAAAGGGTCAGCAGTAAAGACGTCATGCCTGCCTGTTTTTGTGAAAAAGTTATGGAACACAGTCCTGCCCATATATTTACATATTGTTTATGGCTGCTTTTGTACTGCAGTAGAATTGAATAGTTTACAGCAGAGACCATATGGCCCTTTTCAGAAAAGTTTGCTGACCCCTGTGCTAGATGTCTGACCACTGCAAAAGGACAGTTTTTAGATTTTATTTTTAGGAATATATATTGGAAAAAGATATAATGTTCGAAGAACAAAGCATCAAAACTGTATATACTAATATAGAAATTTATGACATATTGCTAATTATGTATACATATTCACATATATACTTTAAAATGTATATAAGTGAATAGAAAACTGTTAATGTGGTTAGCTGATGAGTGGTATTCAGAGGGAGTCGGGTGCCACTTGCTCTTTTCTTTGCCTTTTTTTCCTGTCATTGTTTCTTTTTTTTTTTGTCATGAGGTTCAAAATTAAAATACTAAAGTGTGTATTGAGATGCCTCCCTTTTATTCCTGCTATTCAGCTGCCCCCCCTTTCTTTTTTATCCATTTTGAGCTTTTAATTCTGTGCTTCCTTATTGTTGGAGTTTTTTATTTAAGGGACCAGAAGTCAGCCCTTCAGGGAGTTATAATCGTAATCAGCATGTGTATTAATAAAAATGTAGAAAAAGTTTACACAACTTATATTTGTTAAACATATAAATGACACACTCCCCCCCAATTAAACACTCACTTATGCTAGATTTTTGCTGATAGTGTCGAATACCTTGTTCCTCGGAAGTGTTACTTTAGACCTAGCATCCTAGGTATCACCTTCCGGGAACTTGTTGAAAATGCAGATGCTTGGGCCCTAACCCGGAGGGACTGAGTTAGGATCTGCAACATCCCCAGGTCCACAGGCACTTCGCATGCACGTCACATTTGAGAAGCACAGCGTGGTCAGGTCTCGAGGCTCAGGATTAACCCGCCCTTCTCTGACGCCTGGGAAGTACCGACTGCGGTGTGTGCGGGGAAGAGAGGCCTTAGAGCAGGCTCCCCAGCTGCTGGGCTGTTGGCACAAACTGACTCAGAAACAGTTTCATAAGTATTGTACCCTCTCTCTTGGAACCTGCTGTGGTGTTTCAATTCAGTGGTCTTAGGTGGGGCATAAAAAAATCTCTGGTTTTCTAAAATTTAAAAAACAAGGGTGGCATCTCAGGCAGTTGTAATACAGAACACTGTAGATCCAGCCTACATGTGGCCGTGCTCCTCTGGTACCTAGAACAGAAAACTGCGTCGTTCTGACATATCAAGCAATGAGTCTGTTCTCTTCTTACTCCTGTGTGGCGGTGAATAACTGGTTTGAGCGGAAGCAGATGTTGGTGGGTGTGGTATGACTGATGTAATGATGTTGTCCTGGACTGGATATTATCTCACAGGCATTAACTTATTCACATGAAAATGAAGTTTCTGGGGAAACTCCTCTACAAATTAATTGTGAATCATTCTTTTCTGAATGGAAAATGACATTCCTGATAGGAATGTCATGACTGTAAAAAGATACAATATTTCTATTTTAGTACTAATCTTATGATGAACCTGACGTGACAATGAATGTAGAACTTAGCCCTCTGACACTACATTTAAGACTTAGATTATATTTGAACAATAAAAGGAGCTTAACGTGGACATTTTAAACAAATTAAGTGTGGGCAGTATCGTGTTGATTCTTTCATGGCCTTGTAACTTTATACACGTGGCAGCATGAGCTCTTTCTCAGGGTTTGTCATCACCTGTCTTAAAAGGAACCTGAGAGACTTTGAAATGTCACTTACAGCTATTTCCAGTGATATTTTGAATGTATTATAAATAATACCAGTTTCATTTTCCATAGGCTCAAAGTCTCACTCCCCAGGACTACAATCTGAGGTGGTCAGGCCTTTTGGTGACAGTGGGCGAAGTTCTGGAAAAGAGTTTAGTAAATGTCAGCCGGACTGATTGGCACCTGACTTTCACTGGCATGTCGCGGCGGCAAATGATCTACAGCGCAGCCAAAGCAGTCGCGGGCATGTATAAAAAGCGCCTGCCACCCAGGACCATGTGAGAAGACTTAACCTGGGATTCTGAGACATCCTCACTTTGGGCTTGGTGGTACAGAAGATATTTATACCTTCTTAAATTGGATAGCTTCAATGATCCAGCAGTCTGGGTAATTTTCCTGCAGGCTGAAGTGTTTCTGGTTTTTTTTTTCCACTTTAAAAAAGCATGGTGTCATGAAAATAAACAGATCCTTTTTTGATCATATAATTACATGTACTATAGTTCTCAAAGAAATGTATAAATATTTTTATAGGATAACTTGATATACCAAATTTATAAGGTGCAAATTCATGTGTTAAGAAAATTAACTTAATGATATGTACTTGATTATTTTGTTTTTCATAACATAGTTAATGAACATGTTCATTGATTATTTCTTAAAAGCATTGTTTCTTTTAATTCAAGATTAATCTCTTTTGTCAGTCCTTGAAGGCTTTGTTGTGTGTACATGATCTCAGGTCTGATGCTGAACCATATGCTCAACAATTTACCCTAAAACAGCTACTTGTAGGGAGATGGTGTACATTCTGTATGCATATTTTTAACATGGGCCAAAATAATAATTGATCACTTTCTCTTTGGTTATCATGTACACACATAGTGTAATTCTTCATGTTTTTTTTTTTAATCCTCACCTGAGGACATTTTTCCACTTTTTTGTTCAGGTAGAGTGAGAGGAAGATAGAGAGAGAGAAACATCGACGTGAAAGGGACACATTGAGTGGCTGCCACCCACACGACCAACCAGGGCCAGGGACAAACTGCAACCGAGGTACGTGCCCTTAGTGGGAACTGAACCCGGGTCTCTCTGGACCGCAGGCCGACGCTCTAACCGCTGAGCCAAACCGGCCAGGGCCTTTTTTTTTTTTTTTTTAAAGTAAGTTCTGGCATTTTACAGATTTACACTCTGAACATTAGGGTAATACATTTTACTTTTTGATTGCTATATGACAACTAAATGGCAAATGATTTTAAATCAGAAGCATTTGGGTTATTTTTTAATAATGCTGTTCAGTATTTCCAACAACAGCCATTATTTCTGCTTCCACTGATATTTCCTGACTGTTAACAGAGGAATTTTGAGAGGGAATTACTTTGTTGTTAATGGGATTGTATGCCTCTTATTTTAATTAAGGTTACTTCTTACTAAGTTTGCCTTAAACACTGCTTTTCTAACTTTGTGGCATTCTGCCTTTACTTTTTATGGAAGTTTTCAAAGAAACTCTTTTATAGTCAATCTGATTTACCTAGTGAAAGCTTCTTTTTCTCCCAAATATATTTACCATTTTTGGATTTATATAAGTCAAAATTAAATAGTTTGTCTTACACTTTGAACTCTATATATGCAAGTTCAAGTAACTCTTAAGATAGTTTTCTTATATAAATGTGATTTAATTTATTTACTCTTCTATGCAGTTCTTTAGATTGAAAAGAATTAGCACAATCCTATGAAGGGTGTTAAAGTTCTTATCCTGCACTGTTATTACATGTAAGGTTTGCTTTGTATCTTTGCAGTTTTTACCTGGGGATGAGATGAGTAAGTATTAATTTTGCAACTATGGAATATGTTAATTTTCAAGCACTGTATGATTGTTCAGTGAAATTCTGTGTCATTAAAAGTAATGAAAGAAAAGATATGAAACCAGTTGTGGCATAATAGGGAGAGACTACTTTTCCCCTTCACTGGTGTTTATGGAACAGCGCATCTGTGTTTTCTCCATCTTTAAGAGGAGCCTTTCTCTCATTGGTGTTTATCCTTTATTTTCAAAAGCTACCCTTTTCTAACAGTATTTTATCATGGCACAGCCTGATGACTAATTATGAGTGTGGATGAAGGAAAGTATTCCTAATTAAAATATTGTTGCTACTTTCCTCCTGCTACTGGGAAATGTTACCGATCCTAAAAGTAGCTCATCTCTCTCACCGCAGCAGCGATAGCCGAGCAGCCTTGGTGTTGCTATTTTGTGATCTTAGACTATCTGTATCTGTCTAAGATCACAGTTCCTTTCCGCATTGTCCAGCTGCCCCTTGTTCTCTCCTTTCTGCGCCTCTCCTTACAGTTCCCACTCGAGCATGTCTCGGGCGTGGTCTGGGGGCTAGGTGCTCTTTTTCTCCCTCAAGCTTCTTAGGAAAGAAAACCTGCCTTTAACACAGTCCTTCACTACTGTTGTTTTGGTCAAGTTGATGATTTTTTTTCTGAAGTGCTCCAGTAACCACTTATTACGTAGTGTGAAAGAAAACAGGAAAAAATGCAGGAAGACTAATTTAACATCAGTCTCAGCTGACAGAGGTACTCCGATTATTCCGGTCAGGGTCTCCCCGTTACTAAGTTGTCCCCTCACCTGCACCGAGAACTGTGCGTGGAACCGAAGTTGGGAGCTCTAGGCAGTGCTGGTCATTCTCTTCTGAGTGTCTTGTCAGTATTGCTTCCCAGTCTTTGTTCCTCTTTCTCAAGGATTAATGAGGCAAGAAATTGAGATGAATGAATATTGACAAAATGGTAGTATGATCATAAGTGCAAGTAGGTAAGAGTACAGATGAACATGTATTATGTACATCTTTAAAATTATGCAAATTAGTATTATACTCAGGGTCAACCAAATTAATATGTTGTTGGATTAATTTTGTTCCTTGGCTAGAAAAAATTCTTAACAGGAATTCGTGTTCTATGAATCCAAACTTTCTATGTTCTAGATTAGAAGATGTTGGGTTATGCATAAATTAAGAAACTTAGATTTTTACTCCCAGAATATGGTGTTCATTTTTAAGGTACTATGCAGGATGATGTATTGAGTTATACCAATTTTATTATAAGTATGTAAATATGACATAAATAAATGATACCTCTACTTATTTTCCAGAGGTGTACTAGTGATTTTTTAAATGCTTATGCATATTAATATTATATTAGAGGAACCCATATTCCCTTTTTTGTTTAAACTGGCTACCAAGAATTCTTATAGAACAGCAACTTCAAAACTTCAAACACCATCTTTCAAGTGGAAACTAGAACATTCAGGTATACCAGAGTTGCTAACTTTAAGGTCAGAGAACTCAGATATTTAGGGGAGAAGGTGCACTGGAGATAGAATAAATAGGCAAGAAGTTAAGGCTTGTGTTCATGAGAAGACCTCTTGATTGCTGAATTCAATTTACCCTTGACCCCCACAGGTGTCATCTTTAGGGGAAAAGTTTTAGTTGTTAGCATATTGTTATTCAAGGTCTACCATCCCAGCAGGAGAGATTTTTGTTTTGGCACAGGAAGGGAGGGGTAGGGTAAAAGACTATTAAATATTGATTTGGATTTTGTTTTTGTTTTTTGTTTGCCCAAAAAACAATGTCAAAGGACTAGAAAAACTCCAGTTGAGAGCCCAGGAAAGGCCTTGTTAAATCTGTACCATTTTTCAGAATTAACTAGAGGAGAAAAAAATAGTTTTGGAAAGACAGTTGGCAAGGCTGATATGAAGGCAATTTAAAAAATTTACTAAATGGAGGAAATCTAAATTATTGAGAACTTCAGCAGTAAGAAAAGAAAAGGGAACTAATAGTTAGTTCCCTTGGTTGGTTAGGCATTGGAGTAGGAACTTATTTTTATAGGTTATATAACTGAAACAGATTAGGCGACCATCACGACAACTGAATCAGAGATAGAAGTCCAGTGGTGTGCCACAAGAATTTTTAAAACATGCAGTACCTGACTATGCAGAGTACTCTTTTTCCTTTACATTGTCAAATTAAAAAATGACCATAGCCACACAACAATAGCAGTCTGGTGTGAAAATTATACCTACATATTTTTGTCAGATAAGCAAAAAGTGTACTTTTTGGTGTGCCACAGAATTTTAGTAATTTAGTAGTTTATGTATGAGATGAAAAAGGTTGAAAATCACTGCTCTAAACCATTCCTTTCTAAAACATCCTAAATATTTGCTTTAGGAAGTTATGGGTACATAATTAATCCTTTAAATGATTGTTGAATTTTTAACTTAATTCACATAATAGCATGAGGACTTTGCTCTATTATACTTTTAATTTTACATTTTATTTAAGCAAAACTATTTTTACTCCCTATTTTTTTGTTTTTGAAAGTGATGTTTTGGCTTTGCTACTAATATGAGAATATATTTGTGATATTTGAATATTCTAAATTTGGGAAACCACAAACTAGGTTTACCTTGGAGTATTATTTATAAGATTAAAGCCAGAAATCTTCTAATTGTTTAACCAGTCTTCAAACAGGGTACTTGTAAAATACATACCTTCTAAAATATTTTGAGGCATCTCCAGTAACCACACATTTGAGAATTGTGTTTTATAATACGACTCCTGACGCATTCGGCATGTCCTGAGATATTTTAGAGTGATGTCACCAAGATGGTGACGTCGGTCATTCCTGACTTTGTAACCCCTCACAAGAAGGGCCACCAACTAGTCAATTACAAGACATCACTGAGCGTATCCTGAAACATGGGGGTGAGGCTGAAGCATCTTCCTGCACCGGAGACCAAGGCAGACTGAAGGAGCAGGGTAAGAGAAAGGGTATATGTTGACCGCGTTGCCCCACCCCCAGGCCAGCATAGCACTGTACCAAGAAGTACCCCTTGGACCTACAATTCTCTTCTGTGGGAAAAGAGAGCTTGGGGTGGATATCTAGCTCCTCCTGTGTTGGGGATTACTTAGGTGCCCCCATTTCAGTCTCACCTCATGGAGATTGCACAGAAATCTACAGAGCTTAACCACTGGGAACCCGTGACAGAAGTGGGGAGGGGCTTGTAACCACCAGCATTCAGATCTTGGCATATCTAGTTCCTACATTCTGCACCCAATAGTTATCCAAACCAGTGGCTTTGGTCATCTGTGTCCACCAGTTGGTGGACAGTCTGAACTTGGCAGGGTGCAGATATGCCTAAATTGGATCCCCAGGTAAATAGCCTCACCAGCCCTGGAGCCCACCCAGGCAGGGGAGCTGAGTCTCAGTGCAGCCCATTGCTGAGTGCAGCTCCTGGCTCCATTTGAACAGAAACGCAGGCAAGAGTACCTGGAAGCTGTGTAGCCTGGCAGTGCTTAAACAGAATATAGAATGCTCAGCTGATTATGCACAGAACAAAGCCAGTGCTGGGTGTGGAGGGCTTCCTTCCACCCCCTACCTTCCCAGGCAGGGGAGCTAATTCACTTCCCACCAGAAAGTCTGATTGGGAAAAACCTGGGAGGCTGCTAGGAGCTGTCCCTCCCCTCAGGGGAGCTGAGTATATCACCACCTTCTATCTAGTGAAGCTCCCAGGCCTGCCCAACCAGAAAGACCGGCTGGACACCTGGGAAGCTAAGTAGCCCATCAACATGTGAGCAGAGACTCCAGCAGGCAGAGCTGACAGTCTGCAGAGCAAAT